CGACTGATAGAGTTAGTGGTGTGTGCTAACGGTCTTCAGCCTCTGGACAGCGAACTTCTTTGCATTGCTGAACACTGTAAAAACTTAACGGCCTTAGGCCTCAGTGAATGTGCAGTTAGCTGTAGTGCATTTGTCCAGTTTGTAAGACTCTGTGGGCAAAGGCTAACCCAGCTTTCTATCATGGAAGAAGTTCTGATCCCTGATGAGAGTTACAGCTTAGAAGAAATTCACACTGAAGTCTCTAAGTACCTGGGAAGGGTGTGGTTCCCCGATATGATGCCCATGTGGTAACCAGCTGCCAGTGGTTCTGTGCTACTTTTTTTTTTTTCCTAGTAAGATTAGTTGCTTTCTACCTATGCAAATGTACATTTTAAGATACTTTGCTGAGATATTTTAGGATATTTTACTGTTTGTAAACTGTCTCAATGGATTGCTGCGGAATGATTTGAAAAAGTGTAAGAAATTAGAATAGCCAGAATAGTTGGTGTGGCACGGACACTATGTTAGATTAGGTGGTTGATAGACTAAATTACAGGTGGTTTTTCAGTAGCTTCCTCAGCCTTCCTTAAAGGCATATTTTGACTTGCTAAATAAATTTGTAACATTAAACTTGTATTCCTTACATTATGCCTTTACTTTACAACTTCATATTGTTTTCATTTTATCTGGTTCATCTTGGCATTAATATATTTTACATATTATTAAAAATTAATAGTAAAATCTAAGTCCAGATACAGAGGCTTACTGAATTTTACTTATAAAATTTTTAGCACTCCATAAAATAACCTTTTTAAATTATATTTTGTTAGTACATGGTCGCAGTAAATGATGATAACATTTAATTTGGGAAATTTATATATAACACATCTTGGGCTGGGGATTTAGCTCAGTGGTTTGGTGGCCTGCCTTGCAAGCGCAAAGACCTGAGTTCAATCCCCGGTACCAAAAAAAAAATCTTAATTCTTTATTTGTCCATTCCCATCCTTCTGTGCTTCCTCCAGGTCTTATTCTTCTTCCTATTTGCAGAGGCTATATTTTCATGTTTTTTCTTCAATTTTGTTTTCACTCCTTTTCCTTCCTTTCCTCCATCTCTTTTTCCTTCCAGTTTGAAAAAAATGCTTTATTTTGCTCTTTATTTATGTTTGGGTTTCTCATATAAGAAAAAACTTGCAATATTTAAACCTGAATACTTTGAGTTCTATTTTATATTAACTATTTTTATTATATGATAATTGGCATTAGATTAAAATTAAATGCTAATTCATTTTATAGAGACACTATGAAAACAAAAGATTTTGATTGTTAACTGATTAAATATACTAGATACAGGGGTAAGTTTTATACAGTACTTTAGGGGAGGGAATAAACATTTGCTAGCCTACAGTATGAATGCAAAAATATGTCATATCCTTTGCATAGTCTGATAATTTAATTACTACACAGTTAAAACTTCATTGGCTTGTTGTCTTTAGGCTGAGGATCTCTCTGTAAAATGACCTACACTGTCTGGTTCTTCCCTGCTTCTTTGAACTGATCTTCTCTACATGTTGTGCTTTGCCTTTCTCCCATTTTCTCAGTTCCTCAAACTGCCTTGTACCCTCCAGTCACAAATCATCTGTACTTTCTACCTGGCTTTCCCTTTCTGTCTGCATCTTCTCGGTATGACTTCGTCCTCAAAGCCTTCCTTGGTGCTTGGCCTGTTCCCTGCTCACAAGTCAGGTTCCTGTAGGGCATGCACTCACCACTCTATGGTTGTTCTTTGCAACATTTACTGCTGTGTTACTGTATTTACTTGTTTGCTTGTTACCATTTTATTCCATTGCACTATAAACTCCATCAGTGTAAAAGTCACTGTTGGTTTTTGTGTATTGTTACGTCCCCGGCATCTAGCCTGATAGTTGTAATGAACATAGTAGACATTTTCCTTAACTGCTTTCTTTTTCAGACTTGTTTCCCTACATACTGTCCCCAGTGTCTTAAATTTATTTCTAAGGAATCAATTAAGATAAAAAAGAATATGAAATGTATTTATCTTCCAACTTGAATATTTTTAATAATAAAAACTTAAATATCCTCACGTATTAAGCAATTAGAATGTGCTGTAAAATTGTAAATGGTGGTTTTTAAAAAGCACTTTTTTATTTAGGTGCTGTTTTTATGTATCCATTCTCAACACTGTGCCACAGTCTCTCACGTGAGCTCTGTGGGGCAGGCACCTCAGAATTACCTTTGTGTTTCTTGCTCGCAGGACACTCCTGACACTCAGCAATGAGTGCACTACATTCGTGAGTGTTCATAGCATGGTAGTGGCTCTAAGTCTACTGGGTAAAAACTAAAACCAATTTCTGGCAAACAGAGTTACTAGCTTGCAGATATTGCTTATATCTTATAATTTTAAGAAGGTGCAGAAGGAACAGGAAACCTGGAATCTGATCACGGTAAGAGAATCACAAATAAAAGTGAAATAGCTTATCTGAGATGTAGTTGGGAACCAGAACAGTGGTACAGATATCACAGAGTTAAGCCTTTGGTCTCACCTGATACTGCTTTAACATAACTCAGTGGAGGAGAGGTGGAAGAATATTGTATTTACCTTACCCTGCAGGGTAAGGTCACAAAATGCCAGTGGTGCTTGTACTAGGAGGTAAAGGAAATAAAATGGAAAGGGATGAGAGAAGAGCAGTCAAGGGAGAGTTTCTTCTTGTAGCAAGGATAGAGAGAAGGAGCGCCATTGATCTCTTCACACAGGACAGGAAATTTGACTTTCAGTGGAGCTTTTCAATAGCTTGGTATTTGAACCAGTAAACTAAGCCTTGCAATGAATCTTAGAGCAAAAGTCAGAGTGATCTCAGTTCATTAATTCATTTTAAGTCCCTGATTGGTCTGATTACTGGGTTATACGTGGAAAAGCAAACATTTTAAAACAGCCTGAAATGAGAAAATATGGGGAGTTCTTAGTGCTTTAATTAAAAAATCCCCATGTAACTAGAAAGTCTGAAAAGTTACTCAGTACTGTTGCTTCTCTGTCATGTGAACTCTATATTTTGACTAAAGCTGAATACTTTGATATCTGAACCAGAAGATGAAGGAAAAGAACTCTTATGTAGTAATACACCAGAGGGCGCTGAATTCCAGTTCTTCCTGAGAAAGAAGTCCTTTGCTCTAAAGTTTGCATTTCCATGGAACAGCTGTAAATGCTAAGCTGAAAGCAGTACTCTGGTTGTACTTTGGGGAACCTCTTCATTCCAGGTAATGAGTTTATTTTTAAAAACAATATATATAACCAACGTTGGTTCGCTTCTTAAATAACGGCTTCAGAAGATTATGTGGAAGGCTAAGCATAGATTTCTTTTATATATGTTAGATCTCTTTTAAAGTCACCTTTAAAGCCTTGGTGCCATTCTCTTTTCTGTGTCTTCAGTGGGAGCATACCTTGTCTCTTTTGAATGGCAGTTTAATTTCTAGAAATAACCTAGTTATTGGGGTGCCAAGTACATAAATGAAGGAGACCATTATATGAGATGGTACTGAATGTAGTTTTTTTTCTTACCAAAAAATAAATTCTTAGCTTTCTAGACTTACATATTACGACATAATAGAGAATACTCTCTAATTGGATATAAGACAGTGTTAATTTTCTCAGCTATCCAAGATTCAGCATTAACTCTTCTTCCTGCCCACCTACATGGAAGTCCTGTTGCCTGTATGACACATTATTTGTAACAGTTGTCCTTAAATCCCCCTGAACTGCAAGACTACAGCAGTGACAGTAACTTAAATCTTCCTATGTGATTCTTCCCTGTTCAGTCCTGGGGTAACTAATTTCATCATTTTCTTGCTTTCCATTTTATTTAATTTTATTAGTTCTGTATGTGTTCTTAGAAGTTTTGTTTTGACTTTATAAAAAGGTGTCCTGCTTTATGTGATTTTTTTTTACCTTTTTTAAATTTAAAATTACTGTATATTTCTATGATTCTTCTCTTTTGTTATGTTTACCTGAGGTTTGTTTATTATGGCTGCTGTAGAATATTGCATTTTGTGACTATAACAATTTTTAAAATCTGTTTTACTTTTGATGGGTATTTGGATTACTCCAGATTTTGCTCTTGACAAATAGTGATATCATGAACATTCTCATACATAGGCCCTGATATATAAATGGAGTGATTTCTTCAATAATAAAATTCTGTTATTTTTTCTGCTAATGTTTCTTCTCCTAAAAATGGAATCATTCTACTGAAGTTCTCTACATTTCAAAAGAATTTAAACAAAAAGTCATAAAGTTTATGCAATGATTAATTTATCTTATTCATTTCTTATTGATTAACTCAGATCTAAGGATCCAGAATTATTTCTGGTTCTTTGAACATTTTTATGGTCTTGTTTCCTTCAATAGTTGTTGTCAACATAACTAAAATAGAATAACAATATGTAGTAATACATAGAAATAAGTAGTTATGATTATATATATCTAGTTGGCTAGGTAAGGCCAACTGACCCAGTTCCATGAGATACTTCACGTAGTCCTCTCTTTCTAGTACTTTCTAAAATGAAAATTGTTATTTTCCTATAGTATGCTATCATTCATTACCTAGGAAACGTGTTACTCTTACAGAATATGAATGGAAGGGCCAGCAAATTCTTATCCACATGAGCACCTCTCCCTCCAACCAACGTAAGGTTATTACTGAGAATCTTTATTAGCTTAACTCAAAAGAAGGTTCCAATTTATTTAACTGTTTAAGTGTTTACTACTATACCTAGAATTATAAGCTGCCCTTCATTTCTATGCTATACAAAGATTTTCAGGCTTTTTCTCACTTTCATGCAGAAATGCAGTCTGGACCTACTTGAATTGACTTGTTCATTTACCTTAGGTCTTTAGAACTTAGAAATCAAAAACATAAAACTACTATAGGTGACAGAAAAAATCTAAAAGCCCCACAAAATTAGTTCACACACAAACATCAAAGTGATAGTGAGTTGAAATCAGAATTCAATTTTCTTGCTTGCATTTATTTTATTTCTGTTCAAAGACAGATTTCTTCAGATATAGGACATGCATCCGAGTTTTTAAGAAGATGGCTTTTTATTGATAAGCTCTGATCTTTGTCTTCTGCTTACAGGTACACAGTAGGATCACTCAAGTCACAGTTTTCAATGTGTACATGTGACTGTATGCCAGGATAAACTTTCTGCAATGGCAGTAAGGTTCCAAGCTTTTCTCCCTTCTTGATGGAACCTTGGTACTTAATTGGCTTAATGTAGAAAATTTTGACACAGAAACCTAAAAGAAAGTAAGTATAATTTTTCGTTACCTGGGACTTAGTAGCCTTTATTCAAAAAATTAAAACATGTAAAAACAGATGGACAAAAACATACAAAAAATAAGTTGAGTGAACTCATGAAATAAAATTGCAGAATCCTATTAAAAAGGAAAACTAAGCTCTGAAAATGGTGTGCATGCCTATGTCCCAGTTCTGTGAGGATCACTTTAGAGCAAGTTCAAGACCAGCCTGGGTAAACACGTTAAGACCTCGTCTAAAAAAAGAAAGGTGAAAATTACAAGATGCCAGAGATAGAATAGATTAAGTAAAAATTAAATAGAGGGATTGGAGAATAGTAGCAGAAAAACATTAGGTCATGGAAAATTGATCCAGAACAGTGTCAACTCCAAGACATGTTCTGATAAAGCTACTGGATTTTGAAAATAAAGAAAAATGGAAGTGGCTGGGCATGGTGTCACATGCCTATAATCCTAGCACTTGGGGGCTGAGGCAGGAGTATCGCTGTGAGTTTGAGGCCAGCCTGGACTACATAGTTCAAGGTCAGCCTGACATACATAGAGCCTGTCTCAAAAAAAAAAAGAAAGAAAAATAGAAATAGTAAGTTCAAAAATACAAGCTTTACAAGCTTTCCTAAATAACAAAAGACATTTAAAAAAAAAAAGACCAAATAGAAACGGACAATTAGTATAATGCAATAATTGTGAGATAATAGGACAGTGTTGGTCCCAAATATATGAGTCATATCTGTAAATGAGAATGAGTTTTACTTGTCTACTTAACATTTTCCAAACCCAATTCTGTGCTGTATGGAATAAAGCATAATGATTGAAAAGGCTAAAAATAGAACTAGACAGTGATTTGCCAAGCAAATGGAAGCAACAAGAAAGCGAGTATTCTGGTCCTATTACCAGACAGTGGAATTCAGGCCAAAAAGCATTGAAACGAAACTAAGGTGGACAGTACATAAAGGCAACCACTACATTTCACAAGCCCTCTGTACCCTAAATAACATAGAGCCCATCTGCATAAAACAGAAACTACAGGAGATTCATGGAGAAATAGAAACCCACTAACAAAGGGAGACTGACACCGTCAGGGCAAAGAGGGCAAGTGAGCAGAACAAAAACAAGGCAATTGGATAGGCTGTCCACTATGGTAGCTACAAGCTACATATGGCTATTTAGCACTTCAACAGCCAAGGATGTGGTCTAGGGTAAAATACACAGTACATTTTGAAGATTTAGTATAGAACATGTAAAATGTCTTGATTTTTATATTAAATTGAAAAATATTTTAGAGATACTGGATTGGATAAAATATTAAAATGGGTTCAACACATTTCTTTTTCTTCATAAGACTACTAGAAAATGTTGTTATGTATATTGCTTATATTTCTGTTGGACTTTGCTACTACAGAAGCTCTAAAAAACTCAGTAAGTTATGGCTCATGAATATGTATTAAAAGATGTGCAGGGCCGGGGATTTAGCTCAGTGGTTCCATGGCCTGCTTTGCAAACACAAGATCCCAAGTTCGATCATCAGTACCCTCCCCAATGATGTGTAGGACCTCTACACTGAAAACTATTAGTACAGCAACTGCTAATATAACATTGAGAGAAGACCTAAAGGAACAGAGAATGTAAGATGTTCATTGAGTGGAGGACTCGTTATTCAAAGATACCAGCTCTTATCACTTCGACCTATATATTCACTACAAAGCCAGCCAAAGCCCCAGCAGGACTTTTGTGGAAATTGGCAAACTGGTTCCAAAATTTCTTTGGAAATGGCAATGACCAGGAATTGCCAAGGCAATGTGAAAAAACAAAGATGAAAGACTTCTATTACTAGATATCAATATGTATGTTAAAGCTACTGTAGTTAAGAAACTGGAAACCCACAGACTGATGAATTGATGAAACAATACAGCAACAGATCCACAGTCCCTCGGATCCTGATTTATGACCAAAAAAATATTGCAGAGCCATAGAGCCAGTTAATGTTGCTAAGTCAAATAAAAATCATGTAGATCTAAATAATGAAAGGAGAAATAAAACTTGAAAACCTAAGAAAATATAGTCCTGCCTTAGGGTTGGCAGATACGTCAAACTTTTAAAAAGATGTTAACAAAAATTATTATTAAATTTGATCACATTAAAAATAACATCACAAAGTGTAAGAAAAAAATTAAAATTTGAGACAAAGCACTCATACCCAGAATAAAGAGCTTTCAAGTATCAGTAAAAAGTACAACTGAATTAAAAATAGGATGCTTGAGTAGATGCATTGAAAATTCATCAGTTGTTTTCGCTTGGTATATTCCCCTGTGTTCTAAGTTTTATCATTTTGAAAGAAGTACAAGACTTGTGTATATGAAAACTGCATTAAATTAAATAAGCATCAATATCTCCAGTGGGCGCCCCAGGTCTATTCAAGCACCTCTCTTACCTCTTCCAGATAGCCGAACACCATTATTGATGGAATTTTTGTTTTTAAAGGGTTTTTCCTGGCCCACAATCATGCCAGTGAATGGTGCATACACAGTAGATCCATCGGAGCACAGAACATCCACACCTTGGTGAGTCCTCTGATTTCTAGGATGTAAATAATAATGAGCAGACTGAGGAGCTGCCATGGGAAACTTTATTGCCAGGAATGTGGTGTTAGCCCACTGTTCCCACAATAGAGTTTCAGAAATTGAAGCTTCCAGAACATTTGTGATGTTCCAGGATTCCTCACCTTGTTTAGTCCAAATTTAACCACTCTTAGTAATGACCATGTTGTAAAGATTAAAGCATTTAAACTAGTACTTGGCATGTGGTAAGCCTTAAACAAATATTAGCTATTACTATTATATGATATTTTTGGGAAATGAGACAGCATAATTAAGTAAATTTTATAGCTGTTGGAATCTTGATCCCTTCAATGGTCAAGACCATTTTGAAAAGAATTGCCTTTTTTTGAGAACGTATCATGAAAGTATTGCTTATTACCCTAGCATTTTATTTTCTTCTCAGTGAAAATCACTGTAAACATCAGTGACTGATACGTTAGTGCAGTGAGTGATACCTCCTGGTTTTATTAAACTGTGCGGAGCAGAAATGCAAAAATCATTCCAGATTGTGAGGTTTCTTAAGTGTGTCTCTAACAATCCCTCAGCTCTGGCTTTTCACTGCTGCCACTAAGCTTGCTCCTTCCAGGCTTTTCTGCCTTCTTGTGGGATATTATGGAATAGTCAGATTCACCAAGATTTTTAGAATTATGTGTAAGGTACTATCTGTCAGGTTCCAAGTGAGCCAAGAAGGTATTGTGTGAGTCAAGTGTACAAACCATATAATGAGATACTAGTTGAGTGTTTTGTTGTTGTTGTTGTTGTTGTTGTTGTTGTTGTTGTTGGGTTTTTTGGTGCTGGGGATCAAACTTGGGGACCTTGTGCCTGTGAGGTAGGTGACAGAACCATTGAGCTAAATCCCTGGCCCCCGTTGAGTCTTAATTATGCAGGTCCCATCTCATAGTCATGTTTCAGAGTATTTGACATTGCTTTAAAGTACTATAGGTGTAAGTGACAGATCCATTCTAATAGGATGATGATTAGCCTCTAACTTTCAAATTCCAGAAGCTGGGTCAGTAGTGCATGATTAGTAGGAAGAGGAGCCAAAATCTTGATTTCAGGTGTAGCTTCACCATCTCCAGCTGGGCTTCATGTAACCCTTAACCCTTCAGTGTAGGTTCCTCATCTATAAAATGCAGTAGTAGTGTTTGATTTTTCAACTTTGGAAAACTAAGTGAGATAAGTCATTGTATAAAGATGTTGGGAGGGAAAATAGCATTCATCTGTTCCCTTTTCTTTTCCCTAGTTTGTGATCTGTCCTCAGGTCAGTCCATACTTAAAGCAGAATTCTTTGAAGTCACTCCAAAGACAATAACGTTACACATATCTCTGGGGCAAGAACAAAGGGTAAGAACATAAGGCAATATAGGGTGAGAGGACTCAGAAAAGCGGTAAGGAGCCAAAGAGGTTGATGGTAGGTCGATCATGAAACCCCATACCTTTGAGTAGAGTACTGTCCACACCCATGGCGGTCACATGTCCGGATTTCATTGGAAGACTTGCCTGCACATATATTAGCCCATGGCCCAGCCAGTGCTAAAACAGGAGAAACAGCCTTCAGTATCTCCACTAATTTCCAGGAGATCCTGAGAAGTCTATTTTCTGAAGCTTTCTGCTAATTTTCTGTAGTTTATTGAGAGGGTCTCACAAAATTTTGTATCCTAATTCACATGTAAAATTGGCTTTTTCCCTGGCTACAAAATTCTATTTGTTCATAAGCATTGACTTGTCATTAATTATACTTTGTTTCCAATTATCCACTAATAAATGGTATAACTTGTACTTTTAAAATTTTCTCTGCTCACTACCTAGCATAGAAATCACTGTTTAGATTAAGCAAAAATAAACAGCACAGCTCAAAGAATAAGTATGAAATAACTTTGAAATGCCTTGTTAGTTCTAATAAGTAAATCTAAATAAATATTTGAATTAAAGACATAATATGCCCTCAACTAGCCATGTTTGTTCAACACTGAATGTCGTATTTTCAGACATAGAAGAGAGAGATTCTAGAAATACACATAATTAAAATGTCAAACCGTGTATGCCTAAGGTGTAGTCAGAAGAGAGGTCAGGAAGGGAGTTGAAACAATTACATGAAAAATTATGAAGCGATAAAACAGAGAGGAGGGATCTCTCAGTGTACATTGTACAAACTTTAAGTACAACTTGTTTCTTTAACATTGCCTGTTTCTTTAATTGATAAATTGTCAATTAAATTTGTCACTGATTTCCAGTGTTAACATTCAGAAGAGTTAACAAATTCAGCCTTTCACTTTGAAACAAACTAACAAAATGGCAAAAACAAGAGGCTACTAATTTGATGACTGATTTTATTTAATGACATTTTACTCTCCACTAATATGTGTACTCTGAAGAGCAGCTACAGAATATGACCATAAAGCATACGTAATGTAACGTGGGTGTCAAAGTCTTCCATCGTGGAGCTAAGCTTCAAATCAACATAAGATTGTCATATATAATCAAATATAATGCCACTGCTTTGGCAACTAGTAGTATTTAGCTTTGAGAATTGAGGCATATATTTCATAATCTATTAATCTGTTTCCTTTCCTACTATGACCATTGAAGTAGGGAGGATTCCCTTTGTCCTAATCCATATGAGCCTTTGCATCAGTAATTTTCTAAATCCAATTATTACACAACTTGTTTTTCATTTTCTAGTTGTGTTCCCATTAAATCCCAGACCAGCCCTGACTTTACTGAAAGTCTTCCCACTCTGCTTTTATGTTTTCCTCATTAAGGAACCAAAGCATTCCAGTGGAAATGATTGAGAAATGCCACCCAATACTATATATCCTTCCCATCCCACCTTTAATAATTAATAAACAAGTTTCTGTTGTGATACTGCTACTAGTGACTTTTAAATCTACCTCTGAAATTAGTTCTTTTTTAATTAGGCAAGATTCTAAAATTGTACTTTTGACTTACCCATGAAAATCAAAGCAGCCAAAAGGAGGACTCTTATGAAGAACATCTGATTTTTGCTTTCCTTGTGCTTCTGCCTCTAATTAGAATTGTCACACACTCTCTTTGAAAAATAATGAAGTTTGAATTAATATTTTCTGGCTAGTTAGCCTTAGAATTTTGTATCTTTCATTTCTTTAGTGTGATAAACAGAGAGTGTAAGAGAATGGAACAAATCAAATTCTAATAGTCCATGGAATTTGACTCACATGTAAGACTGATGTAAAAGCCTTTGATCTGAAGAAGCCCATTTTATTGGAAATACTGACTAAATATTAACAGAAAATGATAAGGAGAGGTACAGATAGATGGTCTTTGAGATTGCAGCTGGCAGAATGTACATGTGAAAATGGCACATTTAACACTGGTAGTAGATCTTTTGTTCAGTTCTTGGGTGGCATATAGTTCAGAAGAGAATTGACCATTTATATTGTATGATCTTCCATAACATATTCTTTAATTTATCTCTTAAATTTTTTATTATCAATTCAGTTGTATATCATGTGTAATAGTTACAGATAATTTTAACATTTTGAAAAAAATTATTTTGAATGTGATTGTAAAAGTTTGTTAATGTGTAATGATGAATAATTAACATCCAAAGCATCCATCGTAGGGAAAAGATATATGATCATGATATAGTCACAGAATGAAGTACAACAGTTTAAATGAAGACAGTCTGCGCATATTAACAGATTCATAAATATACTATTAAAACATGACTTTTAGAATGGTATTGATAGCATATTAGTTAAATAATGAAAATAAAGTGTTACATGAATATTGCCTATATAGTAAATACACAAAAATATGCATGGACTAACTTTAGAACACTAGTTACCTCTGGAGAGGGGAGAAATAGGACTATGGAGATATACAGAGCACCTAAACTCTAAAATATTTTTTAAAAACAAAAAGATAAGAAAACATAATGAAAAAGGTGAAGTCACAACAGATCCAAAAGAAATCCAGAGGATCATTAATACCTACTTTGAGAACCTGTACTCCAATAAAAATGGAAAACACAGAAGAAATGGAGGGGGGGTTAGGTACTTATGAATTACCAAAGTTGAACAAAGAAGATAAAAACATTTTGAACGCCCGAATTACAGTCAGTGAAATTGAAAATGTAATTAAAAATTTACCAACAAAGAAAAGCCCAGGCCCTGATGGATTCACTGCTGAATTTTACAAGACATTTAGAGAACTACTGTCATTACTCTTCAAACTTTTCAGTGAAATTGAAAGGGAAGCTATATTTCCAAATTCATTCCTGGAAACAATTATCACTTTGATTCCCAAAGCAGGGAAAGACCCAACTAAAAAAGAGAACTACAGGCCAATCTCCTTAATGAATATAGGTGCAAAAATCCTTAATAAGATAGTAGCAAACAGATACAGAGAATTCTCAAGAAGATCATTCATCCTGACCAAGTTGGATTTATTCCAGGGATGTAAGGGTGGTTCAACATACGAAAGTCAATAAATGTAATACATTATATTAACAAAGTCAAGGACAAAAACCATATGATCCTCTCAATAGATGCAGAAAAAAGCATTTGATAAAATTCAACACCCATTCATGATAAAAACCCTGCAAAAAATTGGAATAGATGGTCTATACCTCAACTTAGTCAAGGCTATCTGTGAAAAACCAATAGCCAACAGCATGTTAAATGGCCAGAAACTGAAAACCTTCACATTAAAATCAGGAACAAGACAAGGATGCCCATTATCACCACTCCTCTTCAATATAGTTCTGGAAACATTAGCCACAGCAATCAGACAAGAGAAAGAAATTAAAGCAATGAAGATAAGAAAGGAAGAAGATAAACTGTCATTATTTGATGATGATATGAATTACTCTACATTGAAGACCCAAAACACTCCACCAAAAGACTTCTAGACTTAATTGACAGATTCAGTAGAGTAGCTGGATACAAGGTCAACACCCAAAAATCAATAGCCTTCTTATTCACAAATAACAGACTCACTGAGAGAGAAATAAGGGAAAAAATGCCTTTTACAATAGCATCCAAAAAAATGAAGTATCTAGGAATCAATCTAACAAAAAAAGCAAAAGATCTCTACACTGAAAACTACAGCACTCTGAAAAAAGAAATTGAAGAGGATATAAAAAATGGAAAGATATCCCCTGCTCCTGGGTAGGAAGAATCAACATAGTGAAAATGGCCATACTACCAAAACTGCTATACAGATTCAATGCAATGCCAATTGAAATTCCAACACTATATTTCGCAGAACTAGAAAAAAGAATCCAAAAATTCATTTGGAACCATAAGAGACCTAGAGTAGCAAAAGCCATCTTAGGCAACAGACACATGGCAGCGGGTATAACAATTCCCAATTTGAAACTATACTACAAAGCCACTGTGATAAAAACAGCATGGTACTGGCAAAGAAACAGGCCTGAGGATCAGTGGAACAAACTGGAAGACACAAAAACAAACCCAGATGTACTCAGCTACCTCATCTTTGACAAAGGAGCTGACCATCCTCAGTGGAGGAAAGATAGCCTCTTTAATAAACGGTGTTGGAAAAACTGGATGTCAACCTGCCACAGATTAAAACTAGACCCTTGTCTTTCACCATGCACTAAATTAAGATCCAAGTGGATTAAAGATCTAAATATTAAAACAGAAACATTAAACTTGCTGGAAGGTAAGTTAGGCAGAACTCTAGAAGACATTGACATAGGAAAAGACTTTATGAACAAATCCTCAGTAGCATGGAAACTACCAGATAGAATCAACAACTGGGATCTCATTAAAAAGCTTCTGTACTGCAAAAGAAACCATCGGCAGAACTAAGAAATAACCTACAATGTGGAAAAAAAATTTTATCAGCTGCTCCTCAAAGGACTATTATCTAGAATATATGAAGAACTTAAAACAATCAGCCCCCCCAATATAAATACCCGATTCAAAAATGGGCATCTGAAATGAACAGATATTTCTCAGACAAAGAAGTAAAAGCAGCAAGTAAATATATGAAAAAATGTTCCACATCACTGGTCATTTGAGAGATGCAGATGAAAACAACACTGAGATTCCACCTCACCCCACAAAGAATGGCTGCTATCAAGAAATCAACCAATAACAAATGTTGGCCGGGTGTGCGGAGAAAGGAACCCTTCTCCATTGTTGGTGGGAGTGCAGACTGGTGCAACCACTATGGAAATCAATATGGAGATACCTCAAAGAGTTGGACTGGAGGTTCCATTTGACCTAGCCATCCCTCTGCTGGGTATCTTTCCAAAAGAACTAAAAGAATCATATCACAGTGATGTGTGTGCACCCATGTTTATAGTGGCACAGTTTGTAATAGCTAAAACTTGGAAACAGCCCATTTGCCCATCAGTTGGAAACTGGATAAAGAAGATGTGGGTTTTCTATAAAATGGAATATTACTCAGCCATAAAGAATGAGAAAATAGATTCACTTATAGGAAAATGGATACATATTGAAGATATACTCCTAAGTGAAATAAATAAGTCACCCGTGTGTGTAAATACTGAATAGTTTCTCTGGTGTGAATAAACTGCAATAGTACATAGATCCTAATAAGATTACTGACATGGTGAAATGGGAAGAAAGGGGCTAAAGGTGTAGGGAAGGTGGGATGGATAGGGGAAGGGTAATAAGGGAAAAGAAAAAATGTGAGATAAGGAAAAGATGGAAATAAAGTGCTTGTAAATGGGGAGGGGAGGAGCGGGTGAAGGGAGGGCAGGGCAAGGGGAAAAAATGAGAACCAAGACCTGTCATGTAGAGGTACCAGATCCCAACAATGAATGTAACTGTACTGTATCTCTAAAATGTAATAATAAACTCAAAAAATATATAATTTGTTAATCATTAAAGATAGTTCATGGATGTTAAATGCTGTGCATCCCTATGTATTTAAATTTTCTATATGTTTCAATATATATTAGCAGGTCCTTTCTATTCCTAATATTAGATGAGGACCCTCACTTCAATAATCTGTCTGTGATATAAAATCAACATTAAAAATCAATAGCTTTTCTATACACTAATAATGAACTAGCTTAGTGATAAATCAGGAAAACAATTCCAATCACAACAGCTTCAAAAAAGTAAAATACGTAGAGATCAGCCTAACCACGGAGGTGAAAGACTCTAAGATGAAAATTACCAAACACCGAAGAAAGAAACTAAAGGTCCTAGAAGGTGAAAGGACCACTGTGTTCATGGACAAGCAAAAGTAATACTTTTAAAATGGTCAGATTACTGAAAGCATTCTATAGATTTAATTCAATTGCCATCAAATTTTTGGTGGTGTACTTGTGAAGAATGTCTAATTTTGTGAAAATTAGGAAAAATTCTAAAATTCATATAGAAACACAAAAGACTGAGAATAGCCAAAGCAATCCTAAGCAAAAGAACAAGGCTGGAGGCATCACAATACCCAAATTTCAAATTATACTATTAAGCTGCACTAACAAAAACAGCATGGTACTGGCACAAGAAATAGAAATATAGACCAATAGAATACATAACACAGAAACAAATCATTTTAACTACAGCCATCTAATTGACAAAGAAGCTAAAAATATACATTGGAGAAAAGATAGCCACTTCAACAAATGGTGTTTTGAAAACTGGATTTCCATAGGCCAAAAATTGAAATTAGATTTTTATTTCTTACCTTACACAAAAGTCAATTCAAAATGTATCAAAGACCTGGGAATAAAACCTGAAACTTTGAAACTACTAAAAGAAAACACAGGAGAAACACTTGAAGCTATAGATATAGGAAAAGACTTCCTGAATGGAAACTCTGTGAGTACAGGAATTATTAACAAGATTCAATAAATGAGACTACATCAAATTAAAAAGCTTCTGCACAGCAAAGCAAACAACAGAAGAGACAGTCTTCAGAATGGGAGAAAAAAAAATCTTTGCCAGCTACTCTTCCAACAGAGGATTAATATCTATACTATAAAACAAACTAAAAATGCTTTGTAATAGGTAAAACTTAGAAACAGCCCATTTGCCCATCAGTTGGAAACTGGATAAAGTTGTGGTTTTTCTATAAAATGGAATACTACTCAGCCATAAAGAATGAGAAATTAGATTCGTTTATAGGAAAATGGATACATATTGAGGATACATTCCTAAGTGAGATAAATAAGTCATATGTATAAATACTGAATAGTTTCTCAGGTGTGAATAAACTATAGTAGT